AGCATAGTAGCGTTCTTGCTCCCAGTAGCGATGCCCTTTGTTCCTAGTAGCTTCTTGCTCCTAGTAGCATGGCCAGGAGCCCCTAGTAGCGTCCGATCACTCCTAGTAGCGAAGTCCTTGGAATGCCTTTGCAGTTCAAGGTGAAGCAACAGTTCTTGGCTAGCTTAAGCTGTCGCCCCAGAGGGCACAAGTTGCAGGTTGAGCATGCGATCCAAATTGACAGACTTGGTAGAAGCTGGTCACCGGGTTCTCACTCTGTTTTCTTTTGGTGAGACCTTTCAAAAGACTTCTTGTATGCAAACATGTTCACAAAGACCTTTATGACTTCAGCTCTCGGTCTGCTATCCATTAGGTTCGGTGCAGAAGCTGGACCTACAAGAAACTTACGAGGAAAGGATCACCAGTGCGATGGCTCAGTGTCACGCAGCATCCAATACTGATACTGCAAAGATAGGCCTGTACCAGACTACGAGAACCTTCCATAGATGAATGATCGCTCGCATTACTTTTCGCTGTCCGTGGGTAAAGCTGAAAAAAACTATGTCGGCTATGTCAATCCTTGTCTCCGAAAAAGGAACAAGACAAAAGAAACACAATAGCTTCATGTTACTAGTAGTAGTGCCCTTGTTACTAGTAGCTGCTTGTTACTTGGAAGAACGGTCTAAAGGAAAAACACACATTCCCGTGCCCGAGCCGTCGGCCGGAGCCGTCTGCCAGCGCCCTTGGCATGAGGCTGTTTCTTCGACCCCTCAGAAGTGGTCTATGAGGCTAGTAGCGTCCTTTGTTCCTAGTAGGATTTTGTTTGTTAGGAATTGCAAGTGCATCGCTAGTAGCAACAAGTGCCTTACTGGTAATTACAATTCTAATTAAATTCTTTTGTTACTAGTAGTAAGGCACTTGTTACTAGTAGCGATGCCCTTGTTCCTAGTAGTAAGGCCAGGAGCCCCTAGTAGCGTGGCACTTGTTTCTAGTAGCGATGCCCTTTGCTCCTAGTAGCGTTCTTCGATCTCTGCCCATTGTTACTACTAGTAAGGTATCTTGTTACTACTAGTAAGGCACCTGTTACTAGTTTTGAGATAACTGTACATCCTTATTCAGTACATCTTAGTACCTTACCGCCGGTGCTACTTGTACCAAACAGCTTCAGTCAATTCCACTTTGCTGTGGGGGCACTCTTGCCGCTTTCTTTAGACAGGCTCTGAATCCTCATTTGACCAAGCTCTCCAGACCTGAATCGGCATCTCGGAGAGCGACAGCGGACCTCAACCTGTGCCCAGTAACATGTGCACTTTGACAGGTTCGCCAATACCATGCACTGCCGGGAGACCAACTTTGACCCACCTGCTGGATCGGCTTCGGGCCTTTTACAACTTTGTTTATAACTTCTTTGTTAGACATTACTACTAGCTTCTTGTTACTACTAGTAAGGCACCTGTTACTACTAGCGTGGCACTTGTTACTACTAGCTTCTTGTTACTACTAGTAAGGCACCTGTTACTAGTAGCGTGGCCCTTGTTTCTAATAGCGTGGCACTACATGCCAGCAACATGCGCCCTTCTAAGTTTGGAATTCTTCACATTCCGAGGCTCCAACGCTTCAGCCACCAAGAAGAGCAGCTGAAGAAGATGTCGGGACACCCATTCTTGCTAGGCTATTGCAACGTTTCAGCAAATCCAGAGCATCCCAAAAGCATCATAGTCACAAGCAAACACCTGACACTGATGGCAAGCACTGCTCCTTAGCACAAATAGAATAGGATACAGGTTGGGGACTCCAATGGAGTCACCTGGGAGTCTGACTGTGCCAAGGCTCAACATGCAACTGGCCGAGGAGAGCTGGGGAAAGAAACGACAAAAAGGATCATATCCTCTTTGGACATGCTTTTACAAAAGTACGGTACAAGGCATATTCAAAGTTCTGACTTCACAAGCCGGTAGAAGCTGGTGGATTGCCGCACTATGCCATTAGCAACTTTTTACCAATCCTTACAGGCCTTTACCCCTACTCTACTCAACCCTGAGAATCGTTTCACCTGTAGAATCAATGGGGTCAAGGAAAGATGTTCAAAGAATTCTTGTTACTACTAGTAAGGCACCTGTTACTAGTAGCGTGGCACCTGTTTCTACTAGCTTCTTGTTACTACTAGTAAGGCACCTGTTACTAGTAGCG